TTTGCCCACATTTGTCCCGAAGGATGCCTGAGGTTTCAAGAAGAAAAAAAAAAGTTGTTGTTTTTCCAAAATGTCTAATAGCTCTTCATCAGATAACTGAAATACTCCTTGGACATCTTTATCATATAATAATGAGCCATAAAGTAACACCGTGAAATATTTTAGTTGGGGTTATGGATCAAAAATAAATAAATAAATGAGCCTATAGTAGCATCATAATTGATTGTTGTAGCATCAATTAGCTGTTGGCTTACACTTTTTGAGTGTGTTAAAATTGTCTCATTAATCACTCAATAATCTGTTCACAATGTAAAGAGATGACTTGACGATGCATACATTTCCTAAATTCAGATTTAGATATTCAAAAAGCTATGTGAGCAATCATATATTTTATAAAACAAGCCATGAAAACTTAGGACAGCATCCCATACTTTCTCAAAGGCACCCTGTTACATATTCAGTCCATTCATCCCATTCCAATTATTATGACATGTTTATATTAAATGCAATAAATGTCTCATGTACTCCAAATGCCTTTGTAGTCTCATGTACCAGATGCATGAACTGAAGGGGTGTGGTAAGAGGAAACAAAAAAGCTGAAAAAGGGAACACAATGAAGGCTTATTGTTTATTAAAGGTAAAGAACTGTGACACCTTATCAACCTTATCTGGCCTGTATTTTATCTGAATTGACCAAACCCATGTTAAGGAGATGCTCAAGATGTTGGGGCATAATCCATGTGTGGCTGTGAGAAGAGTATGCAGGCAAGAGCATTTTGGATTATTTAACCATTTTAATAGCAATGCCAAGCTCATTGGTTTTTAATCCCAGTGAGTACAGGAACTAAAAAAAACAACAACCATAACTGTATCATTTAAATGTAGGTTGCTTTGGTTAAAAGCATCTACCAATGCCTTAATATAAATGTAAAAACATTTTTAAATAAAACTAGCATTCCAAATTATGCAATTCTTATTTTAATTAAGCCACAAGTTATTTATATATATATATATATATATATATATATATATATATATATATATACACACATTTTTATATTTTTTTTTTATATATACACATACAATTTTATTTATTATTTTTTGGACTGGAGAGTATTTTTATAGATACATGGTAGAGGACATTTCTGACGGTGAAAAAAGCTCACTTGTGTAATATTACTGCAGAAGTGTGTGTATTATTAAACTTCCCCATTAGATGAAAGTGCCACTTAGTGAGTCTCTATGAGACGGTGTCAGGAAAAAAATACAAAAATAAATAAATATAAAAAAAAAATAAAAATTATAGATATATATGTGTGTGTATATATATATATATATATATATATATATATATATATATATATATATATATATAAAATACTGACAAAGACTCCTTAAGGTTAAATGATTACATTTATTGTCTGCCAAATAATTTGAGCCAAAAATACAGAGGGGCAACATTTTCAGTTATTACCACTGACACTCTGACAATATCAGTCATGTATTCACATCTCTCATGTTCTAGGAAATCTTTCAAATCAATAGCAACATTTTATCTTAATTTCTCTTAAGATTAATCTTAATCTTAATAAAATCAATACATAATTTGTATAGCACTGATTACTGACGTTCTCCTGATGCTTTGAGCATTTAGCTCTTTGAAGTGCTAAAATGCTACATAATTAATTTCTGTATTTTGGCCAACAAAAATACATTACAATAAAATTCAGTAAAATATTATAGAATTATTTACTCTAAAGGCAATTTGAGACATGTAGCATCAGGGCTACAGAAATTTCAGTTCCGTAAGTCTACCCATCATTGAAATCAGTAACACACAATTTAAGATACATGTATTTTATACACCTGATGTTTAATAAAATTGTCTCAGAGTCTGCTGCTTATCAGTTCTTGAGCTTGTGTGAGGCGCTCCAGACGCTGCTTTAGATCTGCTCTCCTTCGCCCTCGTTCTGAGTCTTCACTGAGCAGTTTGACCACATCTGCTTCGTTCCTCAGTTCTAGCATTTGATGCCGTAATATCTTAGCTGCATCCTTCAGCATGAAGAGGACTATCAGCATGGGCACATAGTCTGTGAGACGCTGATAGACAACCTATATGGAGACAGGACATTAATTATGACATCCACTTTGAAATCTGAGGTTGGTTGCCCTTTGATCTCTTTGGTGAACCTCTAGTACCATCGCACTGGCAATGTGTGGTTTGGATGCACATACAGACTCAATTAGTTAAATAGTTATTAAATGATCATCATCACCTATTCCACTCTTAAAAATAAACATGCTATGTAAAACCAAATGGGGTTTTTACATTATGCTACATAATAACCATTTTTGGTTCCCCAAATAACCTTTTCACTGAAAAGTTATTTAAACAACTATTTTTTTCTTAGTGTGAAGAACCTTTTAATAGTCCAGGAACCTTTTCCACACTACAAGGACCTTTGTAAAACGAAAAGGTCACATGGATGTTAATGGTTCCTAATTAGGTATGTAACAACGCACCCCAAGTTAGTTGAAAATATGTGTGAAAATATGCCGATTCAAGTCAGTTGATATGTTAAATGAATCGCTATACATTTGGGGGTGGGAGTTTATGAATGTATTGCTGAGGAGAACTGACTGTCTTCAGAAAAGTTTAGATGGTATTTTCTTTAAACCTTGCCTCTGTGTAAGGCATATGAAAGTAATATTTTTAAGTGCAGCATTATTTAATTTTCAGCGGTAACCAAGGATACACTATATTACTGCTGTTCCATAAGTGTCACCTGTGTTCAGAGTGTGAATTTGTGTCTCATTCAGCCTATCTGATGTTTTTGTTTCATTCAGATATTTTATGCAGCATTATTTCATAAAGCTAAAGCCAGACCATTCTGTCTTTGATTAAAATTTCGTTAGTAAAAGTATGTGGGGCCAGAGACAGTCCGAATAGTAGGACTGTATATTGATAAGCCACCCCCTCAAACGCGAATTTCAAGTGTGTGATGATGGGCTATCTGGATGTGAAAGCAAGCGTCTTTCAGATCCACTGATAAATATAGCTGCAAGCAGCGATTCCGGGGCCAAGCCCGAGAAGGGCTGTAGCGCAGCGCAGAGCAGGTAGAGCAAAAATGGCAGAAATGGAACATACATAAAAAAACAGATAGGTTAATTTTTGAACTGGTGGTGGTGCTATAGAGTTGGTCCTAGAGACCCCAAAGTTGGTCAGATTACTATTCCTGACCATCACTACAAGTGTGCCAAATTTCATCATTTTCCTATGTTCCCTTCATAGGGCTGCCATAGAACCCCATTGGACGAAAATAATAATAATAATAATAATAATAAAACATACGGATACAATAGGGGCTAAAGCCCTTCGGGCTTGGCCCCTAAAAAGCAGTCCCGGGGCATACAGTATATGCACTAGGATCTGCTTTAAAGTCAGCATCTTGAATGGGCATCTCATTAGCACACGGTTCAGATGCCTGAGATTGAGGATATGCCTAAGCCCACCATCTTTCTTGGGAATGAGAAAGTAGCGTCTGTAAAAGCCTGACTCGCAGTTCACTAGAGCAGCGGTTCTCAATTCCAGTCCTTGCGTACCCCCGCTCTGCATGTTTTGCATGTCTCTTTGTTAACACACCTGATTCAGATCATCATCTCGTTAGATGTGAGCTCCGTGCATGAACTGTGTTCCCATTGACATGGTCCCTACACAGTGTCCATTGCTCCCTACACCCTGAGCAGGGGAAATCCGTTGGAAGTTTACTTCACTTCGGAATATTCATTTACAGATTTGCGCTGCCTGCAGCGTCTTCACACACATACAAAACTTACTAGAGAAGCGTGAAGTGGGACATAATAAACCTCTGTAAATAAATACAATTTAAATTCACGTCTCGCACACTTAAATGCCCTTTGTATGGCGGAATGGCGGAATATGTCCACTTCGCAGGGCACTTACAGTCAAATATAACAAACGTCTGAAGCAATAAGAGAAACATACATGTGTACATGTGCGGGGGTACACGAGGACTGGAATTGAGAACCGCTGCACTAGAGGAACCATTTCAACGGCTCCTTTTGCATGCAGAGTTTGCACTGCGACCGGAGATTGTGAGAATCGTTGTCCTGTACCGACGTTTGAATGATAGCTCTGAAGCAAGGTGGGCTGCAAGTGAACTGTAGCAGTAACCTCGTTCTATGGTTTTTAGAACCCAGCTTGACACATCCGGAATGGCTTTCCATGCCTGGAGCCGAATGGCAAGTGGCATGAGTCTCTCGAGTGGCAGGTGGCTCCGCATGGAGGTTAACCGCCATTCATGGTAATGAGGAGAGGAGAAGTGCTCTTTTGAGTATGTGGGTCCGCTATCACAGTGGTAGTTTGTTTGGGCACGCTGAGTGAGAAGGGCTGGCCCAGCCTGTACAGAGCTTAAATCGCTCAGAGCTATGCAGAGGAATAGAGATGGAGAGTTTGAGACTTATTTGAGGGTGTCCTGGCCTCGGTGAGAACAGGCCCTCTCCTCTTCCTCTCTGCATTGGGATCAGGACGGCTTCTTTGGCCCAGGGTACAACGTCAATCTGGGGCAGGGACCTTGACGCCTAGAAAACGGGTAGTGTTTTCCCATCCGGGGGTGCTGCTGAAGACCAGGCTCAGACTTAGGCTGGGTCGGAGGCGGCACCGGCTTAGTAGGCTGCCGGGAGGATAGAGCCTTCTGGCGACTTGAAACAGTCGCCAACCTGTAGCGCTTTGGCAGGACGTGCCTACACTGAATGGGCTTTCAACTCTAGGGCCAATGGAGGGCACAGATGTGCAGCCACTGCCTCTTCGAGAGAGGGGAGCTTGTCACAACCTCGTTCTTTAGCACCATCAACAGTGGTGAGAGCGGCAGAAGTGGAGGGATTAACACGTGCCAAGTAGGGGGTGCGTCACGTCCTGGTGAGTTCTTCGTGAACATCCAGGAAGAACGGAGCGGGCCGTGGGTGGGAGCATCCGTTGGCAGCGTCCCTTCAAGTACCACTCATCTAGGAGGCCCCGGCCGGGCTCTTATGGAGCCGACCAATCTAGGCTGAGATCCTCCACAGCCTTAGTGAGAACGTGGATCAGCTCGCTGTCCACGCTGGGCCATGTTAGTTGCATAGGAGGGAGGGTGTCGGGATCTTCGCTGGAACACGCTCAACACAATGAGAGCACTCTGTCCCGGTGAGTGTAGCCTCTGTGTGGGCGCTGCATTTGCAACATCACAAGAAATTTGCAGGAAATTGTTCTTATTTGCCGGATAGCCACAGGGAAAGGCTTGTTGGCGATCTTCTGCTGCCGGGGATCTTCTACGGCGAGTAGTCAGGCTGAGCTTCTTGCTCCAGCTTATTGCTGCTTCTTCAGAGTCCAGAGAGGAAATGATCTTCGCACTGAAGGAGAAAAATTCTGATGAAATGGGGCTCAGAGCCGACTTATGTAGCAGTCGGCTCCACCCCTTTTGGTGGGTTGAAATGCCATTTGTTCGCGCAACTACATGAACGTGAACAAATCAGGCTTCAGTATTCAGAGTATTTCCCCATAACCGTCCATAACTGGGGAGACCGTTCGAAAGGGTACTGCTTTGTTTGGATTGCGATTAAAATGCATTGGTTGCCTCTGATTTTAAATGGAAAGCACACAGGCAAACCTTTAGTTTGAGATTTCAGAGAGTTTTTCATTTCTATTATTTATTTATTTGATTTGGGATTTGTTTTAAAATTTCTATTTAGTTTTGTTACTTGATGTATTTCAATTTCAAAAAGAAATGTGCTGCTTTTTGTTAGAATAAAAGGACACCTTTTCATTTATAATTTGTCTCAAATCTCATGTTGTTTAAAAAAGCGTGATAAAATTATGGTGACATTAGTATTGTGACTCGTATCGCATCGTGAGTTGAGTGAATTGGGAAGAAAGAACATTTATTTTACAATAATTTACTACTAAATAAGCCATTTGTAGAACGATTCCCCTGAAATGTGTAAACACTGGCTCTGTGATGAAATGAAAACATAACATAATATTGTTTGAGCATCCAGCATTTTGGGCCAGGACTATCTTGCGGTCTACCAATGCCAGATAGGTTGGCTGTTTGCAATTTCTTTTGGTGACACTAGTGCAGCAGAAATTACACACTTTACCTTTAAAGCCCCTTCTGATATTAAAGTGTATGTCACCGTTCACAGGACCGTGTTCATTCTTCCTTGTTGTGTGGTGTTGTACCTACCAAGGCCAGCTAAAGACTTCACCTGCACCACTTTTATCTGACCAATCTGCTTTGCTTAAGTTTGCAGTGTATTTTAATAAAAGGTGATAGTACTCACATTAGGATCCCCACTTTATTGATCCTAAAAGTTTATACATAACATTCTTACAAGATAAATGAGCTGTTTATCACATTTTTACAGCGTGTAAATTTATGACTTAATACTGTCACTGTCAACAAATAAATACATGTCATAGTAAGAGTTGCAACCCACCTCATAATAGAGAACCAGTTTGTCTGGAACTAGGTGTCTTGTATCCAACAGTGCACAGCCTTTGGAATTAAAAATCTTGCTCTCATCATCATGGACGTTAGTGTCAGGGTCCATCACAGCTTTCTGTGGGATATCAGAGTTGTCGAGTTTCCTTTGTAATACCTTGTCCTGGGTGAAGACCAGTTGCTCCATATCAATAAACTCCTTGATTCTTTTCTCCACTTTGGCCTCTTGTTTTGACTGAATGTCATTAATCATTTTCTGAGGAGTACAACATAATGCATATCTTGTGAAAAAGTACACTCTAACATAATTTTAAACATAATAATTTTTATGGAAATAATATACTTAAGGGCTAACTGAAAATAATGTTTTATTATAAACTCTTAATCGTAGTGAGGTCAAAATATAAAATTAATGCAGGATCTAGAAAAAAACCTGATTGTGATTAAACCAAAAAAATGCTAAATAAATGAACAAAAACTATTTTTAAACTTAAACATTAGATCACTTGCACCCAAAGCAGTTATTGTAAATGAAATTATCACAGAGCATAGTTTTGATGTACTCTACTTGACTGAAACCTGGCTCAAACCAAATTACTATATTGGTCTAAATGAGTCTGCTCCACCAAGCTACTGTTATAAACATGAGCCCAGTCAGATTGGTCGTGGCGGCGGTGTTGCAACAATATATAGTGATATTCTCAATGTTACTCAGAAAACAGGATACAGGTTTAACTCATTCGAAATACTTCTGCTTAATAAACCCAAGGCGGGACACCACCTGCACGAAAAAATTCAAAATCAAATTACTAAGTAACCCCTGAATGGAATAACACAAAATAGGTATCATTTTAAAGCTTAGAATCTCAGCTTTTTAATTAATGTAATTTGTTGTTTTTTACAAAATACAAAATTAATGTATTTTGATCAACTCTTAACGAGTGCTCCAAAGTAGTGCTGAGTTATTTGCTGATAAATTACAAAAAAAAAATTCAAAATTTACAAAATATGTTTTTTTGTGTCATGTACTCTGATATGTCAACAATATCATACAGCTCGGATAGTCATGTGTCATATGTAATTTGAAAGGTCCCATCAAGTAGAATAAAACAAGCATAATTGTTTGCTCCTGTTGTGTCCCTGACCTTAGGAACAAACATCGGATTAGTTCTTATGGTAACTTTCGAAACATTTGAATCAAACTGCATACAGTTTGGCACCAATACTAAAACTAGAAACATTTCGGGACTGGAATAATACTACTGTGAAAAAACACAGCTGCCTACATTCAAACAGACAAGGGAAAAAAATGCCTCTTCAGGTTCAAGAATCTACTTGCTGCAAAAACTGCTACAGACTTCTATAATGGATTGAAACAAAGTTACTTGAGGGACTTCCAAAGGCAGAACACACAGCAGAGCTTCGTCATGGACCCCCTCATCATATAGCCAGTGAGTCCCGTTAATCTAGTGAACCTCAACAGGCCATACTGAGTATAGAGGAACAAGCTGATCAACACAACTGATCGCCACATGAACAAACTGATCGCCACACAAATCCTTGGGACAAACAGGGAGCGAGACCCAAAGGCAATTAAGACATTAGATTTTCAAGAGTACCACACATTGCCACAGCAGCATCCTCTGCCCCAGATACACCTATGACAAGGCTTGAAAACACTGGTATCCTACCACCCCTTATATATCGTGAGAACAGATTTGAAGCATTAATGAATGTGGGTGAGAAATCCCCAAACACTACTGGACAAGGATCCAGCTAATCTGCTGCCTATTATGCATCAAACTAAGATTGCATTGGGGACAAAACGTAAAACTGTCAAGTTAACATTTTTAAACATCCTCTCACTAAAAAATAAATCACTTCTGGTCAGTGACTTAATACGAACAACCTGGATTTTTGTTTCTAAATGAAATGTGGCTAGAAGACAGCTGCAGAGCAACAGTCCTTAACCCTTTCATGCATGGCATCCACTACAGTGGACGGATATTTGGAAATCAATTTGAACCATTTAATTTGTAGCACCATATCCCAACCTCCAACTTGTGAACCCTCAAAGTGTTGTCTACGATTCCATTTAATTATTGTCTTTGTATCTCTTTTTTTGTTTTGAGATATTGCATAATACATTCAAAATGGCGGTGGGAAGAGGAGATGCACCAAGTACCTCAGGAATAAGTGTTAAATCCTTTCATTCACAGAAAACCAGACAGGTACAAAAATATTTTCCAGCTAAATAAGATGTTAGAAATACTTTTATCCAGATTTTAATATTTTTCTTGTTCATTTTTTTTCGGTGACAGAAAATACATCTGTCCACTCCAGTGGATTTTATGCGTTGAAGGGTATATTGTGCCTATTGGGCCTATATATAGATTGTACTTTATCTAAATCATTCAGGCCGCCCATCCGTCCAAGCCATGTAGGACCACTTCAATACTCGCTGGACGTGGCTACTCTTCTGCTGGACAGGCAGCTTCGCCGCTCCATTCAATTGCGGTCCTTCAGGTCTTTCAGGCCAAGATTCTTGCCTCCACGGACAAGTCTGGCCTGGACGCCACGACTCTCAGGGAGCTGAGGAGTGCGACTGACCTGGTTCTGTGCCGAGGGGCAAATGGACAGGGCCATGTACTGTAAAATCTTGGACGAAAACCTTCTCTCAGCCAGAATACTGAAGATGGGTCATGGATAATTCTTCAAGGATTACAATGACCCAAAACCTTGAGCGCCATTTATGGCTGACAATAACGGAAATCAAGGACGCAGATAAGGTTTTGTAGTTGGTCCCCTTTTGTAGTTAGTCCCCTTCCTTGACCCCCGATTTCTCCCAACGGCCTCTTTGGACCAGCGGTCTAAGGGTTCGCCGAGCACTTCACTGAGGCACAGAAGTCATCCCAGGCCATGCAACACTTCCTGCCAAAGCGCTCCAGCTCCACAACTGCTCCTAGTCAACCTAAGTCTACGCCGACTCAGCAGCCCACTCAGCAGACACGAGGGCGTTCCCGCTCAGCCAGACGCTACCCCTTTCCTAAGCGCCAGGGACCCCGACCCAAGATAGCGTTGGACCTGGCACCTCAGGCGTCTTCCTGATCTGCAGGACAGGAAAAGGAAGAGGCCAAGTCTCGCTACGGCTGGACCACCCCCCAAGCAGCCTCTCTTAAACCTCCTATCACCCCGTTTAACCCCGGGTGCAGAGGGAAATGTGTTTGTTGCAAATTCTGGGCCCGTTCAAGCGCCCAAGCAACCACCCGCTGTTATAGTGGGAAAAATAAAACAAACATTTTCAAAAAGAGAGCACATTTCCTCTTCCGTTTCTCACGAGTGCCCTGCCTCAGGGCAGCCAGTCACTCGAGTTAATCCAACCCCTTGCCACATGGGCTGAGGCCTGGCAGGCCATCCCCGGAGTGTCAGAATGGGTTATGGGGATAATACAACGAGGATATTCACTCCAATTCACTCGTTGGATTCCTCCAGCTCAGAGCGAGTCAGGCTTCTACACTACAGACTTCTATAATGGATTGAAACAAAGTTACTTGAGGGACTTCCAAAGGCAGAACACACAGCAGAGCTTCGTCATGGACCCCCTCATCATATAGCCAGTGAGTCCCGTTAATCTAGTGAACCTCAACAGGCCATACTGAGTATAGAGGAACAAGCTGATCAACACAACTGATCGCCACATGAACAAACTGATCGCCACACAAATCCTTGGGACAAACAGGGAGCGAGACCCAAAGGCAATTAAGACATTAGATTTTCAAGAGTACCACACATTGCCACAGCAGCATCCTCTGCCCCAGATACACCTATGACACTATATATATGTGTATGTATTTTGTATGTTTGATGAGAAATACCATTCATTAGTGCCTTCGCAAATACACACGTCCCCTATTGATACTTCACTCGTACTGAGTCTTGCTAAAGATGCTATGGGAAAAAGCCTTTTTTCTCCTTAACTGAAGCCTTTTTCCAATCAACTGTAACTGTACAGCCATTGGTTCGTGCAGTGTATTAGAAATGAACCAATGGCTCAGCAGCAGAGCTGCACGAGCCTATGGCTACGAAGCCCACCAGAATGGGTGGGGCCATCTGGCTATATAAGCGGGCGCTTTGCCACAGGATCTTCAGATTTCTTCTCCTTCAGCGATGACGACTACGCTCGTCGCTGATCTACGAAGCCTGCTCACCGTTTGACACGCCTCCCAGCTGGACTGAGACCTCTCTGCTCGGCTGATCCGCCTTTTCTTCGCCGCTTTCATCCGTCCTTTTCACCCAGATTGACCAGCGTCCCTCTGCCAGCGCAAGCAATCTGGTCTCATTTGGGGGGAGTGAAGACGAGCTGCCCGATGATAGCAAGTCATTGGCAGCCTCAGAAGCAGAGGAGCTGTCGGGCTCGGTTACCGACCCAAAGCCGGGATGGATGCCAAACTTCTCCGTATCCTCTCAAAGGTGGTTGAAGAGCTGGGAATAGAGTGGTCTCCACTGGAGGAGCCCTCTCGCAGCCGTCTGGATGAGGGGTTCCTTCCGGGGCGCCGTCAGGCCCCTTGCCAGCGTCCCTCTCCGTTTTTCCCTGAGGTCCATGACGAAATCACCAGATCGTGGCGCGCTCCCTATTCCGCCCACCTCCATCCTTCCGCTTCATCCACCCTCGCCTCACCCGATGCCACCGACCACAAGGGGGCACGTAAAGCTGCCTCCCCTGGACATGTCGGTGGCCACGCAACGGGGTACGAAAAGTTGCCTCCCCTGGACATGTCAGTGGCCACGCATCTTTGCCCGCACACGGCTATCGGCTGGAAGACAAAGGCCG